GGAGAGGAAAGAGATAAACAAGAAATTAAACATTTATAATATCAATAATAAAGATTAATTAGAAATATTCTCAAACAATGTAGTTCTATTTTCCTTCCATGCTCCTAATGAACATAAAATGATATCATATGTACCACCTGACTTATTCTCCATAATAGTACATATAATTTTATTCCCATTTTACAGTGAAAGCATATAAATATTATTTCTTAAAGTCTCAACAATGTGACTTAGACAAAATAAGAATGCAAAATTCCTGATGGCCAGTACAATATAAAATGTATTATTTTTACATTATGAAAGTACTCACTATATGCAGATAGCTGTATATTCAAATATTTGATTATCAAAATAGTGATAATTTGTATTGTTCCTGACTTTCAACTATTCCTCGTTTTAAATACCAGAATAGCCAACTGAAAAAAACCCTATAAGTTCCATTTGCCCATATTCTTTAATAAATCACATTTTTAAAAATGCAATATTTTTGGTAATTTTCCACCATTTAATGGACATATTACTAATGTTGATCTAGAACTCTAGAAATCTTACACTGTAAGATTTTAAATCTTTCTGCTGGATTTTAAATTTTCCATTTAATAGAAATTCAGTATTGACATGAGAGTTAAGAAAATTTCACAAGTTATGTACCATTTCTACCATCCCATTTACTATTTAATATGATAGCTTTCTATTCATTCTCACTGAGCCCAAAAGAAACATTATCGCTTGACATTCTACAATAATACATGTACACTAAAGATTTCTATTTTGAAAATTACCCTTTAACACCACTTTCCCACCTCCTTAAGCTGACAGTATCTTTCTACATTTAAAGAAATCATCAAAACTTATAAGGGCTATGTATTTTTAGTCATAGATAGTATAAAATATGTATGTATTAGCAAAAGCATTTGTTTGACTATAGAAATATGATTGTATGAATGTATTCTTTTGTGCAATATGGAATGGCATTGTAAAATCAAACTGACATATCAATTTATTTTACTTATACAATAAGTTTAATTTACATAGAAATGATAGAGTATTCCAGGAACAAATCTTAAAAACAATTTCTGCTGAATGACTGCTATAATAATCTCCTTAAGAGACAAATAAACATAAACTAAAACAGCAGTTCTGAAACATATATATAGCTCTCAGCTAAAGACAAAACTTGGTATTAAGTAGAAAAATACTAAAAAAAAAAACCATATTGTGCCAGTTGAAGTTACAATGTTCCTTAAAACTTCAATATTAAGCATATCAAAAGCTTTTATTAAAGCATGCATTTAGGGAGAAAACTCAGATTTGTATTCTCTTTTGACTTCTCCCCTTGACCCACTGATAAAGAGAGAGGATGATTTCAGTGCATCTATATGCAGAAAAATTAGAACTAGAAAACTAGAAACAAAATACTAAGATACTTCTAGAATATAAATATAAGTTTATCTGTTTGAACTCTTTAGTTCTACAAGATCTTCCACTTTCTAAATTATACTGAAGATTCAATATAAAGGTTAAAATTTTCCAATAGAATGTTAAATATATACTATTTCTATCAAATAATCTTAGTCAATGAAGCTTTAATAGTCCAAAATGATCTTAAATTGGATTGAAATAGAAATAATTAAAAAGTTGTTTAGCTTTACAAAAGGAAAGTTACATTATAGTTTTTCTTTCTTATAATAATAAAATATGCCCCTTTATGTTTGAATTTCTAAATTTAGGAAACTCTTTTAAAATATACATATTCAGAATTTATACTTAACAATGTATGAAATTCTATTACATTCATTTATTATCCAACAAATATTATAAGGACACAGGAAAGAATAAATCTAATCAAAGAGGTGAAAGATCTCTTCAGGAAAATCACAGGACACTGAAAAAATAAATCAAAGTCAGAAGATAAAAAGGCCTCTCTTCGAATAAAATCGTGGCATTTGCAGGTAAATGGATGGAGTTAGAGAAGATAATGCTAAGTTAGCCAATCCCAAAAGTCCAAATGCCAATGTTTTCTTTGATATAAGGAAGCTGATTCAAGATGCCCTTCAGTGGATAAATGGATTAAAAAAAGTGGCATATATACACTATGGAATTTTACTCAGCAATAAAAGAGAATAAAATCATGGCATTTGCAGGTAAATGGATGGCATTGGAAAAGATAATGCTAAGTGAAGTTAGTCAATCCTAAAAAAACAAATGCCCCTAAAAAAACAAATGCCGAATGTTTTCTCTGATATAAGGAGGCTGACTCATAGTGGGGTAGGGAAGAGGAGCATGCAAGGATTAGATGAACTCTAGACAGGGAAGAGGGGAGGGAAAGGGAGAGGGCAGGGGATCAGTAAGGGCAGTGGAATGTGAAGGACATCATTATCCAAAGTACATGTATGAAGACTCGAATTGGGTGTCAACATACTTTATATATAAACAGATATAAAAAATTGTGGTATATATGTGTAATAGGAATTGTAATGCAAAAAAAACAAAGTACATGTATAAAGGCATGAATTGGTGTGAACATACTCCATATACAAAGATATGAAAAACTATATATGTAATGCATTCCACTGTCATGTATTTAAAAAAATAAATCAATAAAACTAAAAAACAAAACAAAACAAGGAAGCTGATTCATAGAAGAATAGGGAGAGGGAGTATGGGAGGAATAGTCAAACTCTAGATAGGGCAGAGGGGTTGGGGGGAAGGGAGGGGACATGGGGTTATTAATGATTGTGGAATGTGATGAAAATTATTATCCAAGTACACGTATGAAGACACAAATTGGTGTGAATATACTTTGTATACAACCAGAGATATGAAAAATTGATCTAAGAAACACTAACTTCATAAAACATTGATCTAAAAACATTGTAATAATAGTTAACTGCTGTGATTTGGGGTGATTACTTAGAGCCAATTTGATCATGAACACAAATCTGAATGCAGGCACAGTGGTGGTAATGTAGATAATACAGAATATGCTCTCACTATATAAATAATAATTAAAATGAAAACTCAAAATTATTTTAATTCTCATAGAATAAAGTCCACCAAGAATAAATCTGTGACCTCCATATAACCAAAATCATTAAGTATATAATCAGAGGAGAAAGAAATCATTTACACACTGTATAATTTAACAATATACACGAGCTGGGTTTTGACACAGATGATGTTGAAGGATACAGGTTGAGAGTAAAAAAAAATAAATGTAGATGCCAAAAAAGGACAAGGTATGTTTGGAAAACAGCAACTTGTCCAAGCAAGTTGGTACACAAGACTCATGAAAAGGAGTAAAATATAAGCCACATTAAAAAACAAATAAAAAACACTAGCTATATTATAAGGCCATTATAGAAAGATTATTCTATAATAAAAATATAACCAGTTTACACATATAATTCAAGTGGAACTGGGAAAGTTTTTTTTATAACTTTTTTTTGTTCTTATTAGTGTATTATAATTAACATAATATTGGGGTTCTTTTTGGATAACCATATATGCATGGAATATAAACTGATCTACTTTAGACCCTAGTACTTCCCATTTGGCTCCCTAACTACCTTTCTCTGTTCTCCTTCCTATACTTATTGCTCTTTCTTCTATTAATTCATAGTTATTTTTTAAATTCCTGCTTTATAGAGATACATAAAGGTGAAATTCACTGTGGTACATTCATATATGTACATAGCATAATTTTTATATAAGGCAGAAATTATTCTGGTCACTGAATATATTCAAATTATAAATGCTAGACAATACTGTCAATAACTCTCGAGGGTCTTTGTGAGATTTTATACTGCTTATAAGATAACAGGTTGAGTCTACACAATCTTATAGATGCCATCAGAAGAACACGGGACTCCTGGGTCACAAACAAAAGAGACATCAAGAGACAACAGGCAGCATGAATTCATATGTTCATCCATTTTTTTGCCCCTCAAATTACAAATAAGCTATGTGGCAGGCTAAGCACACAGTAGGACTCTGTCACAGCTAATGAATCTCAAACAGCAAATTCAATCTTATAAGGCGACTATTAGCAAACTTACCATTCTTTGCCATTAATGGGGAAAGGGAGAAGCACTATCTTTATTATATTAAACAGCAAACAAATACGCTTGCTGCCTGGGAAAGAGACATGATCTCTATCTTGGAAGCCTGTTTCCTATACAAATAGTCTTGAAAAGACAGTTCATTACAAAGGCTAACAAAGCCTTTGCTCAGAAACATGTAGAAATGCAAAATACATAAGGGAAATTGTCTCTCAGCATATTATAAATTCTTTATGCTATCATTTAAGCTATCATATATTCTTTATGTTCTTATTTAATCATATAATTCATTTGAATACTTTATTAAAAAGCCAAAATTGAATACAGAAAAGTAAACTAGCTATTATAGTTACCACATTAAACAAATGTTTCAACATGCATCATTTAAAAAATAAAGACAATATAAGAACATGTAAAACTTTTAGCTTTAACAAAACATTCACCTATATGACAAATAACATTTTCAAAGCTTCCTACCAATGATACCATGTGAGATATCTAATGCTCACAACACCTAATTCCTTATTAAGTTGAAAGTGAGTAGACTAGATTCAATTTATTTCTTCTTTATGTAAATAAACACTTAAAAGAATACTTTTTTTCTCCTGTCACTGTGGAGATTCAACCTCTTAATAACATTTAAAAGAATAAAAATAAAATCTGGCATTAATTTGTTTTTCTATGCAATGATTCAAAAAATAAAGATCATGGGAAGGATTTGTTTGTACACAAGTACAAACTTTTAAACTGAGGATATGTTTCTAACATAACTTAAAAAGGTTTTTGTGTCTTTGTGTTAAAATAACCAAACACAAAGACACAAAACCTTTTTAAGTGACTTTTTATAGAAACAGTGTACAAACTACTACATATCCAAAATCTTTATTTTGAATATTTAAAATTGGAAAACACAAATTTAAAAGAGTATATGTGACATACCTCTCCCAGAGCCTCATATCTTTTCTGGTTCCATCTGTGCAAATCTTCCCGGTAATTAAAAACAAATGGTTCCCCAGTTTTTATGTGTCTTAACTGCCCCTCTAAAAAACAACAAATAATGTTGCTATAATTCAGAGTTAATTTACAATAATATCAAAGTAAAATAAATAATGCCTGATAAGAATTTAAACATTCTCCTCAGAACAGTTTTATTTTTCCCTAATTCTTTTTCAGACTTCAAAATGGTACATGCCCATTGCTATTATAGAACAATAGTCCCTAAGTAATCAAAGCAATTCTTGATTTTCATTTTACTAATATAAAGCACACTAAGAATATTTTAGGTCCTATTATGAATAAGAATCTCTACCAGATATTGCCATCAAAATGGTGCTAGTCCTCAAGGAGCATAGAGCCTACATACCTGTGGAATAAAAGGATAAGCATTAAAAAGCTAAATAATTTTTCAGAAAGTTAAACAAACCCAAATGAATTAAATAAACAATCTAAAAACTTCTACAGGTGATTCATGCAGACAATAATGTCTAGGATGATTTTGGGAAAATGATGAATCTCTACAGGTTAGAATAAGGTTCAGAAGGTTTCTACATTTGTCAAGTAGGTCTTGAAATATGAGTAAGATATCAAATGGAAATTGGAAAGAAGTAGTGAGCTACTACAAATCTAGATGAACAAATCATACAAATCAGAGGTCTTTACTGATAACGACTAAGCTTTACTAATAACTCAAGAATATAAGCAATCAAGCTGCATAAGTACAATGGGGAGAGATCAGGGATGTTCTGACATTTCCCCCAAGGGCACTTCCTCTCACAGGATAGTACTCTTTAGCCCAGAATAAATAAGGTCACTTACATGAGGTAGACAGATACCTTCACACATTGGTGAATATTTGATCATAAAATATTTCCATATTATATGCCAAAGACTTACATTGCTTATGTGATAGTTTTCAGAGTTATATGCCCCATACAACAAACACCGTAGGTCTGTTTACTATGAGTAATGTTAAACCAGTCATCCTGCAGACAAAAGTATTCCAAAGACAAAAGACTCTACTCGTAGCAAATATTCATCTGATTTACTAAAAAGTTTAATTGTTAGCATGTTTACAAGCAGAAAAGACTAACTATCTTTTCCTGGGAATATCTTCTGGTAATCAGGAGAGAAACGAACCATAGGCCAATTGCTTTAACCCTTAGTCCCCACGAGACAACACACCATTACTACTTACACATATATTGGTATAAAATATTCTTTATAAAAATCATGAAAATTAACATCTGAAAAAAAGCAAAGTTTCTATTTTCTTCTGTTGAAACTCACTCAATATTCTAGCATTCAGAGACTGAAGCCCTAATACCTATAAAGGGATATCCACTGATTCAGTGATGACAGATCATCAATTTGATTAATGCAGAGCAACATGTAGAAAACTACAACTCTAATGCCACCTACCCTATAATATCATCACCTTTCAAGTGTGACAGTATATTATTTATTATTCCAGAAATATACTTTAATCAATTGATGGTATGCTTTTCCACATCTTAAGTACTAAAGTTATTCTTATTAGAACCTAATTAGTAAATTCTAAGATAAGGATGTTGCCTTAAAAATCATGGAAAATTGAGTACTTTGTTTTAAAATATTGTCACAGATAATTACTTCCAGCCACTTCACTTTTACTGTGTGAAACAGTAACATCTTTCAGTATAATTTAGTTAGGAGTTTCCATTGGATATCAGAGAGTTGAATACTCAAGGTTGAAAAGCATAAACTGAATCAAATTCACGTCAATCAGTTAACATGACTTGACAACTATGGGAAATTGTTACTTGGTTCTTTCACTCAAGTGAAGGATTTTACCATTCAAGGTTAAGTCATTATTTCTCAAAAAGAAATACATAAAACATTCTAGCTGACCTTCAAGAGTAGCAAATATCAATCCTATGCTATTAACATTGTAAAATAAATTTTGCATAGAACATATACCACTTACTTTCATTAAAAGCGTATTCAAATCCTTCCAGAGTATCAGGAAAATCAAGAGGTGGTTCATCTTTTTTCATTAGTTCATCCAAATCTATTCTAGATAATAAGTCTAGAAAAGAAATATGAAACTTATTTATATTCATTTCATAGTTAACAATAAAAATTATATTTTAAATTATTAAGTATTCTTTTGTTCTATTAAGTTTTTATATATTTTTAACTGAAAATGCAGTTAATTTTAAGTCCCAAAATGCTATATTATGATCAAGCACAATAAGTACTTTAAAAATAATAGTTCTCAAAACAATCATGACTTATATCTGATAAGCCACTATACTAAATTAACCTCTCTTCAAAATAGAGATCTATTATTGTAAGTTTTAGACATTAATATCACTTTTAAAAGACCATTAAATCTTACATCCAAATGAAACCTTATGAATGAATGAGGACAATTATTATAAATCTAACACTAAATCACATTAGATTTGTAATGAAAAATCTAAGAGTAATATAGCATATTGTTCCATTTTTAGGGGGAAATAGTAAGAAGAAATATGCTAACTTGAGAAAACTGATTGACACAAAATAGTTTATTGTTCATAAGATTTGATTTCACACAATCAAAAATAACTCTGCAAATGATTTTTTAAAATAAACAAAACTCCAAAATTTTATTTTGGAATGGTTTTAGATTTATGGAAATTTTGAAGGATAGCACAGAGTGTCTGTATGTCCTTACCTAGTTTCCATAGTGTTCACATTTATGTGGCCATAATACACTTGTCAAAACAATGAAACCAAATTTGGCATATTCCACTGACTAAAGCGTAGATATTATTGATATTTCACCAGTTCCTCCATTAATGATCATTTTCTGTCCCAGGATTCCACTCAGGAATCTATATGGCACAAAGTTATCATTTCTCCCAGGTCTCCTCTGTCTAGTCTGTGACAGTTCTTCCTTTCCTTCTTTTCTGTGACCTTAACATTTTTTTAGGATAATGATCAGGTGTTTTGTACAACTGTCCTCAATTTAAGTATATCTGATGTTTTTATAGATGAAGTTTATCCTTTCCCTAGTTTAGAATTATGAGTTTCTTGAAAGAAAACCAGAAAGGGAACTGAACTTCTTAGTACATCATGTCAAGAGGAACATGTATCCACAGAACATCACTGGTGATGTTAACCTTATCATGTGGTTAAGGTTGCATTTTCCAGGATTCTCCACTAAGTTACTATTTTTCTCTTTTTATAACCTGTTCTTTAAAAGCAACTAAATCTGGTCCATTCTCAAGAAGAGAAGGGTAGAATTATGCTCTACCTCCTAGAGTAAGGAACATCTACATACATTATTTATAATTCTTATGTATAGAAAATTCACCTCTCCACATTTACATAAATTACTATTAATCAATTATATCAGTATAGACTCATAGATATTTATTGTATAGGTTAAGTAAAAATTCAATCCTATGCTTTTTTCCCTCCAAACTTGTTCCAGCCATGGTCACTGTAAGCTCTTCTAGTTGTCTCCTGTGACCTTTTGACATAATATTATCTGTTTTCTTGAGCATTTTCTTACTTTCTGTGAGCTCCAATTTCATCTTGTATGTTTACTACTCCAGCCCTGGAATAAGTCTATCAACAAGTATTTAATGGTATCTCATATAAGAATGTGACAAAAGTTCTCACTGTATGTCATCAGAATCATTTCGAAAATCAAAATTAAAAAAAAATAAACTTCAAATATATACAATACAAAAATGTAAATCAGATTAATTAAATAAATATATCTCCCAAAACCTAACTCATTGCTCCCTTAATTGTTTGCTTTATCAACCTTATAATATTCTGTTTTCCCTTTTTCTTCCATTACAAAGAACAGTGTGAACACAGAAATGTGCTTTTTTGCTTTGCTCAAAATACTCCTACAAATGACAAACTAAACTAAAAACGACATTCTTAAAAATTTTCCACTGTCAACTAGAATTCCTGATACAGAAATTTTTTATTTCATTAGCATTGACAAGATACATAGAAAGGAACTGTCAGAATTATTTTCCTCCTTTGTTAAAAGAAAGCAATGCTGTAAAACTGTATTTTTCTCTGAAATCAGGTTCTAAATGCAGTGGATAACTCCAAAATCAAGTATAATTAAAGATATCTATAGAAAATTCCCTCAATAACCAATAAAATAGAGTAGTTGAATCCATACAACCTAAATTTGCATCAGATATGACACAATTGTCTTTTTCTGAAACGTGGCTCTAGTGATTAAAGTGATTTAGCAACTAGAATTCTAAACCTAAGCATATGCTACAGCAGTACAAAAAATACTTTTTCATGCCCAAAAGAACTAAAAGTAGTGACTCAAACTGATATTTGTAAACCAGTGTCAGTATTCATTATCATCAAAAGGTAAAGGCAACCCAAGTATACATCAACCGAGGAATAGAGTAATGGTTAATTTTATGTATCAATCTAACTGGGACACAGGGTGCCCAGATATTTTGTAAAACATTATTCTGGGTGTGTCTGTAAGAATGTTTTCAGATACAACATTTGAATTAGTTGATGAAGTAAAGCAGATTTCCTTCTCCAAAATGTGTGGACCTCACTTAATGGTATGAAAGCCTGAATAGAACAAACAGGCTGAATAAAGAAGAATGAACTTTCTTTCCTGCTATCCTTGAGCTGGGACATTGGTTTTCTCCTGCTTTCAGGCTTAAACTGGAACTTACACAATCAGCTCTCTCACAGAATTTTGGGATTGGACTGGAACTACACTATTAGCTCTCCTTCCATAATGCAAACTTGGGAGTTTTCAGCCTTGTTGTTACTATATAAGCCAGTTCATTACAACAAATTTCACACACACACACAACTGGTTCTGTTTTTCTGGAAAACCATGGCTAATACAAATAGATAAACAAAATATGACATATACATACAATAAAATATTATTCGGCCTTATTAGGAATAAAAGGAACGGCGTTCTGACACAACATGAAAGTACCTTGAACACAGTACATGAAGTGAAATTAACTGTCATAGAAGGACAAATATTGTACGATTCCATGTATATTAGCTACCTAGAAAAATCAAACTCATAGAGACGAAAAAAACAAAGTGGTAGTTTCCAGGAGACCGGAGGAGAGGGAAATTGGGAGTTAGTATTTAAGACAGTTTCAGTTTCACAAGAGGAGACAATTCTACAGATGCATGATGATGAAGAATGCACAATATGAATGTACATAATGCCACAGAACTGTACACTTAAAAATGGTTTAAATATTGAATTTTATATATATGTATCTTGCCACAATAAAAAAAATCATTTGGCTTCTTTATTAAAATTTATTACCTAGATGAGTAAACCATTACTGGAATTCTACTTCTGGCTAAAATAGAATAACAGGAACTAGATTCTTCCTACTGTCCTTAAATAACTAGGATACTACATGTGAAAGAACAGTTTTCAGAGGTTGCACAAAAGGCAGAACTGTGTTCACTGAAAGAAACAAATGAGACAAATCTTTCTATTGCACTAGTTTATTGTCTAGAGAAGGTTGAAGACACAGGAGAAATAGAAATGCAAACAAAGAATGATAATACTGCTAAGTGAGAAGATACAGATCAAAATTTGAATAATCCAAGGTGACTAGGTTTGGGTGCAAAAAAAAAAAAAAAGAGGGCAAAGGGAACAGTTTATGCAGAGAGATTACTGAGCAGAGCTACAGAGTGATTTCATTCTGTCTCTGACTAAGTATTTATCCAATACATATAGGAGAGGAAAACAGGACAGGACAGGGAAAGAAGCAGGCTGAATGATTCCTGTACACATAGAGCTGCAAATAGTCTGTGCTTTCAACAGTCAGAATGAAAATATAATATGAGATATCAGATAGAACTCTCAGCTCTATTTTTGGTAGCCTGAATTAACCCCACCCAGAAAAAGAACATTCAAAACTTCCATATCAAAGTCAAACAGTAGTTCCATTCCAAGTTTTCTAAGGAATCTCCATATTGCTTTCCAGAGTGGTTGCACCAATTTGCAGTCCCACCAGGAATGTAGGAGTATGCCTTTTCCTCCACATCCTTGCTAACATTTATTGTTGTTTGTATTCGTGATAACTGCCATTCTGACTGGTGTGAGATAAAATCTTAAGAGTTGTTTTGATTTGGATTTCTCTAATTACTAGAGATGTTGAACATTTTTTTCATATAGTTGTTTATCAAATGTATATCTGCTTCTGAGAAGTGTCTGTTTAGCTCCTCAGCCAATTTATTGATTGGGTTGTTTGGGTTTTTTGATGTTAAGTTTTTTTAGTTCTTTTTACATCCTAGAGATTAGTGTTCTGACATGCTTATGGCAAAAATCTGCTCCCAAAATGTAGGCTCTTTCTTTACCTCATTGATTGTTTCCTTTGCTGAGAAGAGGCTTTTTAGTTTAGTTTGATTAATTCTTGATTCTATTTCTTGCACTTTAGGAGTCTTATTAAGGAAGTAAGGGCCTAATCTGACTTGATGATGATTTGGGCCTACTTTGAAGAGTGAAGCAGGAGACATCACAATACCAGACCTTAAACTATACTACAAAACTATAGTAACCAAAATGTCATGGTATTGGCACAAAAATAAATATATAGATCAATGATACAGAACAGAAGACACAGAGGAAACCATACAAATAAGTTATCTCATACTAGACAACGGCTCCAAAAATATACATTAGAGAAAAGATAGCCTCTTCAACAAATGGTGCTGGGAGAACTAGAAATCCAAAAGCAGCAAAATGAAAATAAACTCCTACCTCTCACCATGTAGAAAATTCAATTCAAATTGGATCAAGGATGTAGGAATTAGACTGGAGACCTTGTGCCTAACAGAGGAAAAAGTAGGCCCAAATATTACTCATATTTGATGGGGAATTAAACTCCTTCCATGACAAGGATAAACAAAAAGAATATATGACAACTAAGCCAGCACTACAAGGAATATTCAAAGGTAAATTGGACACAGAGAATCCCCAAAACAAAATCTAAAACTCTCAAATGAAGAGCAATAGAAGACAAATCATCTAAATGAGAATCAAGGCAGAATTAA